TTTTTCGATTATTTTTTAAAAAGTTATAGAGCATCATAATTTTAAGTTGAAAAATTTGTAAATTTTTTGGGTGTTAGAGTTGTTAGAGTTGCTACACGAAGAAATCGGTTCAGCGGTGTCCAGACACTAAAATAAAAACACATCATTGTAAAACCAATACCTTCTCAGCTCCGCACCAAAGCTAAAACTGTACACAATTCGATTCAATTCACGTTTTTTTAACTTCGATTCGATGGACATTTTTATTTCTTTCGCTTTTCCATGCAAAGTTTTAGAGGTTTATGTATGAAAATTATAGTAAAGGTAGATCTAGCATGAGGCTATAATATATACAATTTCCTCACAAATCTGTAGTCGAACATTTTTTTTATTAAGGAAAACCAAAAAATAGGGGGAAATTACACTTTGTCCGTAGTTAGTTTTTAGGTTGCTACGTGTGGTTTATACATACTACCAACAGATTCACACCGAAGCATTTATTTAAAAGTGATTTTATCACTTTCAGTTATAATAATTCCTGTAGACCTGTGACCTCTCCATCCCCGCTATGCTCCGACCCCACTGTACTAGCTTTTTTTATAAGCTTTTACAGTTTTAAGTGGGCCAAAATAAATATTAAAAATTCATGAAAATAAAAGATAAAACATACTCCTAACACTATTCACTTACTATTAAATTTTAAAAGTTACCTCATGGTGGTCTACGGTAATAAAATAATATTATTACTTTTATTTATCGAGCAATAAGGAATTCATAAAGCATCCACAAAAAAGTTGATAATATTTATAAGGCACAATGTTTTATTTCTAATTTTAACACTTGTATCAGATGCGGGCATTGATACAATATGTTTAATTTTAATCCATACATAAATTATAACGTATCCATTAATTTGAATTACAATTACAATATGTATTAATTTTTGATAATCGAATGTAGTTTAAACATAATGATACTTGTAACTGTCCGCCCATCTCAATGCTACAATGTTTGAAATATAATTTAAAATATTGAATTTTCAGTATGCTACCTACATAATCAATACCATAAGCCCCAAATATATTTACATTTTTTGTATTAGTAAGTACTAAGTAAGATTTTCAGTGTTGTGTTATCCGCAAACTTTCAAACTATCATTAGTGTATTAACTATCGTCATAATAATTAATCTTATATAGGTTTACTTAATAATAATTTAACAATATTGTAAAAATGTGACCGTTGTTATGATAATAATCGGGCTCTTATGATTTTCTTTGTGGAACTTAAATAATATCTTACTAATTTATACAAAGAAAAACAATTATATTTTAGTCAACACATAAAACAGTTAACCCCCCTTTGAAATTTTATTTTAATAAACATTTTAAGCATACCTAAACACATTTAATGACAAATAAATTAATACAATTTTTTGTGACACGAAACTATAATATTATGTTAAATTAGAGCATTCATTTGTATTCTAAAAATATATCTGACGAGTAGGTCATCGCGCATTTGGCTCTAAAGGAAGTTTTGATACGACCGTCGTTTATAACAACCGGCTTGGAACGATGTTATTATCTACACAGGTAACTATTATACGTCAAAGAGTGATAGTTTAAAAAGTTTGTACATTACATAATAAACAATTTAAGCGGGCGTTTAGTGAAAAATAAATTCATAAATTAATCCGAAGGAAATAATTACACATAACTTCGGGCGATTCCAATTAGACAAGAGAAAAAAGGAGCCACTATAGTAGATTTGTTTTTGTTAATATCCCAATAAATTAATAAGCCCCCCTCCTCCGAAAAAATGAGACAAATGGCAATAATACTGTAAAAACGTCAGGTTAGATAAGAATTTAACAGAATGGTAAACAAAAACAAGGTTAATGCGGTGAGTTAAAAAACAACGCAAAGAAGTGATACTTAATTATTTTAAATTAAATTCATGTAGATAGACCGATGCAATAGGACGTAAGAGAGGAAGCTAAGTTTTGCGAAATAACAAAATAAGGAAGACTCCTTCGGCCAAATAGTTTTCGGGATGGTTTATTAAAAAAACGATATGGTTATAGAACGGTCGAATAAGTAATCAAATTCTCAAAGACTTAGCTAAGCCTGTTTTTGTTCACTGTGGCTACATTTTTTTTTTTTTTTGTAAAATACATTATCTGTTTATTTAAAACGGGCATTTGCCCAACAAAGCCATGATAACATATTTAATCGTAGACTTATAATATTACTGTCGATGTAATTGGAATAGATAGTATGCGGCATTGGTATAATCTTAGGATATTATGAAATCATCAAAAAAAAGAAGAGGCAATGGAAGTAGACTTACTGCTATGGCCGTTAATCATATTGTGTCGAACATTTTGATCACATTGACATTTGCTGAAAAACAATGCGTTTTTGAACCGATGCCGACATTTAACCGAATTTTGCATGTTTCACGTACAACGACCGCATCACATATACAAGCATTAGCAACGTTGCGGCAAAACTTGTGCCAGCAATTCTATAATCCAAACGACAAATGTAAATATTTTATTTTGTGTTTCTTTTTTTGTTACCAATAGTGTCACCGTTCACCAACAGAGGCTGTACAGTCTAGTCGTGTGGACTAATGTAAAGACAACCACACACTTGTACATTTTTTTTTCTACAAGCGAATCGTTGCCAAATTATTTTTCTCGTACAAAAGCCTAACACAAGCTCACACGCCCAGGCTCATCCGTGTAAATGGAAATATATTAACACAGTGCGACGCAACGGAAAATAATGCTAGAGGTCACTCTGAAGTATTTTTTTTTTTTTAATTGTAATGTTTACATTTTGTACAATGCAGTTAATTTTAACAACTAATAATTTATAAGAAATAATGATTGAAATGTACGCAATGGCATATAAGCTTAATGAAAAATCATATTTTATGGGATAAGAAAGAAATTGTGCACAGACCTGTTAAGCCGAGAAAAGAGGATGACACGTTAACTAGAAGAGGATTAAAGAAATTGAGTTCGGGTGAAAGAGATAATAATATGTTTAAAATATTGATAACTTATATAATGACAGATGTCACAATCGTATGAAATACTGAAAAAAATTAGAAAGAAATAAAATTGTACACAGCTGAGTCGAAAAATCAATATAAGAAGCAACCTATGTCCAATGAAGTTTAACCGCAGATTTACATGTGTTAGACATAGTGGTAAGATGAAACGTAGTGCATGGTATAAGTTATAGTAAGTGGCAAAATCAGCCGTCAAACATATTCTATGCCACGTCACGTTTTCGACTAGTTGTGAAACCATCAATCATTCGAATAAGATAGAAGTGAATACTTTAATCCCATAATGACGGTTTAACTAGCGGTTCAATGTCATTATCAAAATTGGATCATTACAAAATAAAGATATGTTTATCCAGATATTACTATAGATACAACTATAAGTACATAAATAAAATTCAGTTGGTTACAACCCGGTGGTTTATTAAAAAAATTTCACCCAGTTGCGTTTTTTATGTATGCTTAAACCCAATAAACCCCATATTTTCAGGGAAATACTACAATCTGTTGGCCTTAAAATTAACCCGCTTGTGTTTTTATTTTTGTTTATGTTTTTGCTAACTCCTTTTAACTAGTTATAAATTATTATAGTAATGGCATAACAAATGGCTTGGATCCCTAATGTTTTTTCTAAATATTGAATTAAATTACAAAATATGAGCAAGTGAGGTACCGAATATACATATGTTTCAACACTTATAAGCAAATCAAATAATACAGTCACTTTCTTAAAAAACAATTACCCTATGAATGTTAAAATCTGTCACATTAGTAGTGTATAAAGCTGTCTACGGAGATTATATTAGGTATATAACATTTAATTCTGAGAAATTATTACTCCAGACAGTTTCTATAAAGCTTCACATAGTTTTAACGACAAAAAAAATTAACATAATCCACCAATTTAGTGTCTACATATAAAGTGGTTTAAAATAAGTTCATTCTAGGCCTTCTGCTCGTTACATTTGTCTAAGGGCAAAGAGGGAGAAATAACAAATTGGCGATATGGCGCCGTTCAGCTTTTGAATATGGGAATAACATGTGATTTAAACTTCTCCGAAACGACTCCAAAATTAGAATATAACATACAATACAAAATTTACATGCCTTGTTTTAAGTTGTGCAACTTCAAAAGTAATTATCTTCCCAAAATATTTTTTTTTATACTGAGCCAAACACTTATATCGTCAAGCTCTCTGCGTTATTCATTAATAGAAATTATTTTCTGAGTGGCAAAGAATTTTTTTTTCAAAGATAATCTACATACATAGTGTTTTTAAATTAAACAAATGTGTAGCTTTATTTTTATAATACGTCTAAAATATATATATATATATATATATATATTAAACTATGGGAAAATAAAAAGTTATAATAAATTAAGAGTTCGCTTTAAGCGTTGACTTATAAGACATATATTATACGTAAAATACTATCGATTTTAATAATGAGAATGTTTTGGTGAAAGCCAACTTTTTAATTAACCGTTAAACATTTTCTTTATTATATTTTTATCTAAAAAAAAATATTATTTTTTTAAGGATATTGCGCTTACAGGATTTACTGCGAAATAACAAGCAAAAAAAAATCCTTTTAAATTTTAATATTGGTTAGATGTTAGTTGTATACTATGTTTAGTTTCATCGTAACTTTTATAAGTAATTAAAGAAATGGTCGAAAAAAAAAACAATACAGCACTCAACTTAGTAGGGTGTTACATATTTTTCATGATATGCTAAAAATTACTATCTAGTATTTATCAATTTTTGTGTTCACATATTTTACACATTTTTTAATCGTTATTAAACGATTGTGAAATTACAGATAATTAATAATAATAATAATGTACTTAATTGTTAAAAATAAATTTTATATAACATTGCATTTAAAAATAATTATTTTGATTAGTATGCAAATTAAATGAACTAAGAATTCACTTACCGGGCTGCTCAGCAGCACCTCTGCTCTTGCCATCTATACTCCAATCATCATCTGGAACCAAAAAATAAACTATTTAACATAATATAATAAACTTAAACACGTGTTTGTAGAATTACATTTCTGTATATTATGTATTATAAAGAACATATCAATGACTTATTTATATTTTTATATATGACGTAGACTAATTTTTAAATGTTTAATAGTTTTTATACACATTTCCAGAGTCGAGTTATGCCATTTAAGGTGCGACTTTTTAGTCGAAAACCACTCCTCTAATTTTACCGCGATCAGTGCCTATAAATGTTAGGAAGAAATCATACGTTTTTGAGTAGGGATTATTCTTAGAAAACGTACAACTGTTTGAAGTAGAAACATGTTTTTTTGCACACAAATAGATGCATAGATGCAATAAATGCATTATAAAAGTTGTAAAATACTACACATATATTAAAATACAGTTACCTCTTCGCTGTGTCGAAATATTAGTTTACAAATGTTCGCCTTATATTGTTTTATTAATAAATTGCCTATACAATGCGCCTTAATAAGAGCTAGTACATAGGCACCTTAATACAATCGCTAAGTTGGCCTCCACTTAGTGTAAGAGCATTCTATGTCGAAAAATGGGAACTGTTTTATAGTAATGTAATATAACTAATGATTTTACATCACGAACATATTATAGCATATGGTTGCTTTAAAGGGTATTGTTTTGTTTTTTTACAAAAGTTTTCACCGTCCTTTGTATAAACAGCAACAGCTAATTTTACCACGGCGTGACAAAACAACTTCTCCGGAGGGACTCGTTCCCGGTTTGCTTAGCTGAGATGAAATGGACGGGAAAAGGGCAAGAGATAGAAATAATTAGTACGCAGTACGCGTAATATTCTGCTTAACATCACGCTGAAATTAACTTTTACTACCAGCATGGCTTAGCTCGAGTCTTCTCTTTGAATACCTTCCTCTTTTTCCAATATTTCTCAACATTTTTTCTTCCTTTTTTTTTTGTTTTACCTCTGGGTTTTTTGTTAAAAAAAAAATTGCAGACCAGCAGTTCGAATATAAGTAGTTTAATGAAAATATTGTTAATCAGGCTTTATTTTAATCCAAAAATCAAGTATACTTTTCTGTATTTGTTAAACTAAATTATTCAACGCTGGGATTTTTAATCTATTACTCTTCGCCACGTTATAATATGACTGAGAAATTGCAAAATAAATTGAACGCAATAGTTGCAATCAGGTGAACTATTATAAAAGAAAGTCGTATTATTATTTATTAAATAAACCTTAAATTTGTAATTTAAAGATTTGTTTTAAAGTTTTAGAAAACTACTTAATAATGTTCAAGACGTCCGGAAGAAAAATTGACTATATACATTTTTTTTTATAAGCTAAATATTATATAAAACCATCATAAATAAATAAATGCGTATTATACCTACATACTACACAGGTTAGGCATTTAGGTTACTTGACCCCATCAGAGTTGAATAAACATAATCAAACTTTCCCAACTTGAGTAAAACAATACCAACGTTTATTTTCATTTAAAAGTTTATAGAATTGTGGCACGTGTGGTCGTTTTACATTTTCATAATCAAAATGGAAAAGGCCAAATGATTGAGGACGTTGATAATAGCCCGTGTTCTGTCCACGTCTGTCGTCCGCGGATTCGGGTTATTTTATACTCCCCCGAGAACGTACACAAAACCCCAGAACAATGCAATTTTAAGTAATTGGTTTTTCCAAAATTAATGTGCCTTCATAAAACTTATATGAATTGCAGATCTCGGCTTACAGAAAATTTAACTCGATACCCCTTGATTTATTCACCGGCATATTGCTGTGTCTACCGAAGATGACATAAAAAACTGATGGAATCTTCTTAAAATAGCATTTTTTTTCATTTACAATAATTTTGTTGTGCCCTTTTGAACACGCCTATTTGAATACTTAAAATACAATATTTTACCATATTAATTTTGTTATATTAACGTATACAAATTTAGGTTAAGATAATTCGGTCTTGTTATGAGGAGAGATGGGGCAGAGACAGTGAGAGGTATTATGGAGATGAATGTAGATGGGAAAAGAGGAAAAGTAAGACTGAAGAAAAGATGGGTAGACGGATTGTAGAGTGATATGAGCTGGGGTGATTGAACGAGATGTAGCATATCGAGCTCTATCAAGGTGTAATACTAAGATAGCTGACCCCATGTAGTTGGGAGTGTAAGACGAAGATAAAGAAGAAAAAGAAGTATAAAAATATAGTCCAAGCTAAATCGAATTATTTTGTACTTATCTTAAAACATAAAAAACATTTTTCTAAACAATAAAGTTTAAACTACGGTTAATTAAATCACAAATACATAATAAAGCTTATTGAATATGATATTATACATTTCAGATCTATCAATTTGATAAGACGTAATTATTCTATTGAACCAATACACTAATAAGGTTAGTTAGAGTTGAATTATTGAACAAGGAGCTCGGGAAAAAAATCTCCAAAGATATTCAATCTGATTAGGACTCTATAATGTTCAGGGCTGAGTTTTTTGTACTTCCACCAAATTAAAAAAATATTGATCTAACTTACGTGAACTTTGAAGTACGATAATGTTGCAACATTGTTCGGAAGAGGCCGTTGAAGAAAATTACTTGGAATACCTTTTTTTTTCGTTGACATAGAGAATAGATGTATAGGATAACAACGATCGGAGACATAAGTAGTAGTTAGCGTGCAAATTTCGATCATCTCCAGTCCGATATTGGCAGTTACACGGTTATCCGAAAAAATAGTCGTTAAAGATTCTCAACTAGTAAAACGACATAATAATCGAACATAATGGCCGTTTCAAAACGTGTCACATTGTAACTCGATATCATATGAAGACTGTCGAAGAAAACTTCCGAAAAAAAACCCAAGCCCTTCGAGTTAACCTAACCAGAGAAGCCAAGCAACACTATAGACATGCACGAGTTTCACTGTAAATTTATTAAATCCGTCGAGGCCGTACCTTGGCGAGAGTCTAAACATTATTTAGCATTCGCATGTAATGCGGTGAATTTATATACCCGAGTGTCAAATACTTGCACGGATGAGGCTCGCGAGAATAGTTCAGCCGAAATGTCATACTGGAAGATTTAGCACTAGTCTTATATGGTAAGATATATTATATTGTACGTTCGAGTAATATCTGTTTTTGGTATTATTTCACTGGAAACATCGTCCCGCCTTCGACGCTATTAGAGTCAGCTGCTCACTATATCTGGTCGGGTGCACAAGTGCTCTCCAAGTACATACCCTAACTATATTAGTTTGTTAAACGGATATTTCTCAAAAAGCTTTTTCGATTAACGACTGACAAATTAGAAAGACATTAATTAAAACCCACGACGGAGAAAATATTAAATAAATGAAATTTTGAACTATTAATTATTTTTTAATTACAATGACTGTCAAATTATAGATGAATTCAGACTTCTGTTGAGATAACTGGGGTAACCTTTCTAATGTTTTTTTTTTTTTTGTAAAAGGTAAAGATAACACAAGTAAAAATATTGCCTAAAAAAACTTTAATTGAAATTATTTGACGAGAAATTAAGCGAATCAATTTAATTGGATTACACGGTATAATATAATTCAGTTGTATTAAAAAATATCACTGTTATACACAATTTTGGAGAAAAAAAACAAAATTAATGCATTTTTTCATTGAATCCTTATCTGGAGACAGATGATTTTTGGTATAGTTCATTTTTAGTCTACTTCTTTACTAAATTTAGAACTCATGTAGCATTATTTGATTTTTTTTTTTTTGAGCAAAAGTAAATTCTTTTAAATGTTTTTTAAATCTCGTAAGAAAATAAAGTCTTATTTAAGTGAACAATATTAATTTAATAGTTTTATGAATTAATAACTCTACGTAACAAAACTTGTATTGGATACAAAACAGTATCATCGACAACTTTAACATTATTTCTCTACGATTCGTATCGACAATTAATTACATGGAAATGTCAATTGATATATATTTTTTTTCATTAGAACTGATACGTGAATCCTACCGTTACGTTGAGTAAATATTGACATAGAAAAGAATATTAGACTTCCTTTAATTAATATATAAAGCATTAGTAAGTAGAACTTTTTTTGCGATTAATTTGACTTATTTTTGTTATTTTTAAGAATGACATCTGTATCAAAATATGTACAATATTATAATACTAAATCATCGCTTATAACCTATGAATTTAAAACACACGCACAAATTACTCAATGTAATCTAATAGCATACTAAAGGAGGAGGGTTGGTAGTAGGTACTCCGTACTTATTTCTATTATTGAAACTAATTATTGTGGAGCGCGCTATGCGTTTTAAAATTAAACGAGTTGTTTCCGGGTAATAAAAAACAACGACAACGAAAATAATTATTAAATACAAAAGGAGAACCACGGCGTAATAAAACAAAATATCTTTAAAACGGAATCATCTTGCTTTTTATGTAACCACTTTAAATTACCAAGCAAAATATTTTCTAGTCAAAAATCCGTTTTTGCATTAGTTAATAACGGTATGAGACGTTTTGCCAAACGGTCAACATTTATTTTTTCCCATTTAAGTATCAAATGATCCAACGGGTGTGTTTCACGCCCACATTCGATTGTAATATTTAACAAAATTGCAAGTTTATTCGAACCACTTTAGACGGTGTAATATACTGACCAATATATTATAATGTAATATCTTTTAGTGTAAAACATTGACACATTTTAATGATTATTTTAGTCCAACTAACAAGACCATCAGGCTTAACACAATGGCTGTGTGCTTGTTTATCTCCATTGCAACACGCTTGAAATGCAAATATAGGCTTATACAATTAGTAAACGGCTTAAGCTAAAACGTCTACTCTGTTCCGGAATAATGAGATAGATTTTATGGCGAGAACCGGGTTACACAGTACAAAGACCGTTTGACGGGGTAAAGTGAATGTTTTTGAAATAAAATTCGCTCGTTTTGGATCGTCGAGGACATGCAC